CTATCTGGGATGGCGAGTAATAGCGGATTCTGCCTTTAGAGGCAAGGGGGCATGATGAATCCCCAAGACGTGTAGGACTAAAACGCCGAACAGGACAGACCCTGAGCAGACGCTATGTACGTGGCTCCTTTTGCGAGGAAGCTACCCTTATAGCGCTCTATCAGTCTGCAACATACCGACTCAGACACCCACAGCGCCCGCCCGCCCACAAATGTACGACCGATGCTGATGCTCGCATCGCTTCATTTGCGGAATACGGCATGAAGCGAAAGGACTTGATATGAAGCAGCTGCGGTGCAGCATATGTATATGTGTACACATATATGCGGCCGTATCCACCGTAGCGGTTATTGGCACGATGTCAACGGGAAACTCGTCCGAAGTTGCTTTCTGAGTCGTGAGGAGCAAAGGCTTTTTCGCAGGTTTTTTACTGTCGTGGACAGCTGTCAATGGCCAGGCGGCAGAATCCTAGGCGGCGCGTGTTGAACGTGCACGGAATAACGGGACGCATGCTAGCTGTCACGCGCCGCCGGCGCTTTGTCACACGTGACGCGGTCGCTGCTGCACCAGCGTGTGCGGCCGTTCGACGGCCCTAATCAACTGCCCGGACGGCGACTGTAGCAGGTGCTGTTCGGCTTAACAAAGAACAAAAGTGAGGAAGAACCACCAAAAGCACTCCACGTGAGGACCGGCTGAATTTCAGCCTATGGTAAATGGAGACGCAGAGACATTCATCGCATGACCACACAACCATGTATATCCCTATTTCTGCGCAGCCTTCGAAAAGTCGCACCTCCCAGATGAAAGCGTGGAGATGGGTTTTCCAACCGCTCTTATTTGGCAATTTTTTTATACAAGTGAAAGTGATGAAATGAAGAGCTACGATAGTCGAAACAATGATATAAATCATCCTTGACACATTGCTTTGAAAGCATCAATTTTTACCCACCTTTAATGATTACGCAGTCAGGATCAGTAGGCACAGAGAAGGATAAGTTCTGAGCCACTAGTAGATCTGGAGATTCTTCGCCACTTCCACAGCTCCAGAAGCTTGTCTCGCCTTCATGACTACTTTTCATGTGACGAACCAGTTCCGCTATTCTTAAAAAGTAGCTGTTATCTGGAGTCTTGTACGCTGCGGCGTCAGCCGGTCCTCTCCAACTGTTGAAGGGGCGAGCGGAAACCTTTGGTAGAAAGCTGGCTGGCTTCGTGCCAAACCCAGTAATGAAAGTGGTCCACCTTGTACAGTTATGTATGTACGGGTGAACCTCAGACGGCATTCTGCCTGTGATTGTGAACTGATTAACCTCATACATAGAAGGGATTCCTCCTAGCAAGTGATCATGCCATGAACCCCCCCCCCCCAGTCTGTGAACACTATCTATAACTGGAGTCGTATTTCCTGGACCGCCCCCCGGATTTTTCGTACAGTGGGCTATCCACCCAGGGTATAGCATCGTGATGGGTGAAATGGTGGTGTCAGTACGACCCCACCCATGAAGGAGGGTCTCGGTACGACCCTCCCCTCGAAAGAGGGTGTCGGTGCGCCACCCTCCCGGTAGACCCCCCCCCCAGCTCGCCTAAGTATAACCACCTGTGTGTTTCGCACGAGACGATAGCTGTACAGACTGTCTGCACCAGTTTTTGTAAGTATACAATACCGCTCATAATATTGTGTGTCAATTCCGGACGGTTTGTGACAGATTTCCCGGTCGGCAAACCGACGTGTTTGCACATACTTCAGTAAGAGGTCCACCATGAAATCTGGAATTTAGACCATCTCGATAGGGCCCTGTTTCGGAGGCAAATCAACTGATGTATGCAGCTTCCACTTCCTCTCAATTTTTTTGACGTTTTTTCCCAGGAAATTGAAATTGAGTCTCCAGTGACCCAAGGTGTTACCTGCAGACACGGCTGCGTCGTAAACCCTCCAGTCCAATTATGAACCTCAAACCAAGTGCCACAAAGCCATAAATACCAGCATATTCAGAGAGGGCATGATTCCGTGATCATTTTGATACTTTTCATGACAGGGTTTCAGCAAGGTTCAGCTGAAAATCATGGTCAGCTGCACTCTTTCCTTGCATTTTCCGGTTTAAATCGGCTTGACACTACTCTGACTTTATGGCCAACGATCCTGGAAAGCTCACAGTGGTTCCATAGAATGTTGAATAGCTTGGAAGTACAATACCCGCCGTAATTTTCCGAAAAAAAAAGCTAAAGAGCGCAGATCCGCGTTTTGTTTCGTTTTTTTTTGCTATAACTCTTCTCATATAGAGCCCTATACTGTTAGACTCAGCTTGTCGAGTTCTACAAGTTGGACGCATCTTTAAAAAAACTCAAAAAAGTCCGAAGAATTGAACTCTGCTTCCTTTCGAAGTACCTGCGGACACTCGTTAGCGAGCGAGTTTCGCTATAATTGTAACATGAGGGTAAACGTTGGGAATTAAATCATTGTGGCATTCAGATAACCGTACCTGTACTGAGTGAAAGTGATTAAAAATTGAGATAATTGTGCTTCCCAAATGCTGCTGATCATTTTGGTGCCAGTTTTCCTGAAAATTGAGGGGTTTCGTTTGATGTCACTTCTGACAATATAGCCTTTCATCCGTCGAATAACCTCTGGCTTGGGTTCAGTTGCGGACCAACGACGAGCAACGTGCCTAATGCAGGTGGAGCCGCTGTTTTTCCCCTAATTGTTCGCGAAATTCCGAGAGTGAATTCAGAAAGAAGGGTTTTTCAACTACTTTGAAAATGGGCACTTCGTGCGATACTAGAACAAATGCTCGATTTTCAGCGTTTTCAAACATGATTTCAGGCACTTTGAGTGGCCCCAGATGTTCCATAAAAAAGCCGCCTACAGAACGTTCTGTGCTTTTCAACAACTTGGTGGAAAACAGTGGCGTATTTTAGACTGGTTGTTGTTATCGGGTGGCAACTTCGCGACTTCATTTCAAAGCAAAATTTACGATTTTTTTTCGCCAAGGAATAAAATCCAGTCAAAGTTACGACGCATTCGGAGATCCTCTTGAAAAATTCTTATGCTGTTCATCAGTTAAAAAACACGCACCTCGTGCAACTTTCTACAGCCTTTCGCAGTTTTCTCCGCCTATCTGCCTTGCCAGCAGTCAATCGACCTCCTATGTAGTTATCCAACCGAAGTGTCAGGGCATTGATCAGTCTCTGTATTGATCAGTCTCAGTATTTAAGAGTGGTCAGTGAACCATGATTTTCAGCTGAACCTTGCTGAAACCCTGTCATGAAAAGTATCAAAATGGTCACGGAATCATGCTCTTCCTGAATATTCTGGTGTTCACGAGTACTCTCAGCAAAGAGGTCTTTCCAACACCACTGCTACCAGTTATGAGAAGAGTTTTGTTCTTAGGAAGTCGAAGACTGAGATCTGAGAATTGCGTTCCCGTCAAAGGTCGTGTAAAGCGGTGAAATGAAATGAAATGGCAAAGAAAAGTCAAACAATACAGAAAGCAGAAAATAGCTGGAGAAAAGAAAGAGAGAAAGCGATTACCAGAATCACTAAAAAGCTAGTTCTCATCTCATTTAGAGGCATGGTCCGCGATCAGGTATCGAAGTTGAAAATATGGCGTCAGGAGGTTAGAGTGGTCCGCGACGAACAACCTTGTACCGGTTTCGCGGCAAAAAATTCTAAGGGGGGCGCTATAGCGCAATATAGGTTCAGTGGTTCCTCCTTTTTTCCAGTGACTCCGCCTCCAGACTCCGCCTCCAATGCCCGGCTTTCAGTGAAAAACGAGATTGCAGGACGAAAAAGCATGAAAATCGTCACTTGTACGGTAGAGTTCTTATCGGTGAATCAGCTGTGCGTATGAGGGCGTAGTGTGGGAGATAGAGTTAATTGGGCACGTACAAACTGGGATCGAAATGGGGTTCTATCTAGGGCAGGTGGCATGTTTTTTGTGCTTTTTTCTTCATCGAGTTACTCAACCCCTTGTCGTCTATATGGAACCCCCTAATCCACTATCTGGGATGGCGAGTAATAGCGGATAGCGAATCTGCCTTTAAAGGCAAGGGGGCATGATGAATCCCCAAGACGTGTAGGACTAAAACGCCGAACAGGACAGACCCTGAGCGACGCTATGTACGTGGCTCCTTTTGCGAGGAAGCTACCCTTATAGCGCTCTATCAAGCTGCAACATACCGACCCGACGCCCACCGCGCCCGCCCGCCCACAAATGTCCGACCGATGCTGATGCTCGTATCGCTTCATTTGCGAAGTACAGTATGAAGCGAAGGGATGATATGAAGCGGCTGCGGTGCTGCATGGATATATGAGTACATACATGCAGCCGTATCTACCGTAGCGGTTATTGGCACGATGCCAACGGGAAACTCGTCCGAAATTGCTTTCTGAGTCGTGAGGAACAAAGGCTTTTTCGCAGGTTTTTTACTGTCGTGGACAGCTGTCAATGGCCAGGCGGCAGAATCCTAGGCGGCGCGTGTTGAACGTGCACGGAATAACGGGACGCATGCTAGCTGTCCCGCGCCGCCGACGCTTTGTCACACGTGACGCGGTCGTTGCTGCACCCGCGTGTGCGGCCGTTCGACGGCCCTAATCAACTGCCCGGACGGCGACTGTAGCAGGTGCTGTTCGGCTTAACAAAGAACAAAAGTGAGGAAGAACCACCAAAAGCACTCCACGTGAGGACCGGCTGAATTTCAGCCTATGGTAAATGGAGACGCAGAGACATTCATCGCATGACCACACAACCATGTATATCCCTATTTCTGCGCAGCCTTCGAAAAGTCGCACCTCCCAGATGAAAGCGTGGAGATGGGTTTTCCAACCGCTCTTATTTGGCAATTTTTTTATACAAGTGAAAGTGATGAAATGAAGAGCTACGATAGTCGAAACAATGATATAAATCATCCTTGACACATTGCTTTGAAAGCATCAATTTTCACCCTAATGACTTCATTTCTCTTTCCCGTTACTGTTCTAGTTTTTTATGTTTTTACTATTTATCTTTCCTCATGTCTAACATTGGCTATTCACAGTTTCTTTGCCGTAACCCTTCCCCTTAAGGTGGGCCTTGGTGGGGTTGACGGACCTACTAAGCTGGTATCCGGAGCCGCTTCGCTCGCTCGCGTATTGCATGTGGCGCCACTGCTTTACCGCATGGCCCAGCTGCATGCCTATAATCAAGCCTTCACTCCTTTTTTTTTGCATGTTTATCGGTTCACTCATCATACATTTACGTGTGTTTGTTTGTTCTTATAAGCGATAAATAAATCATTAGTCATAATCACCACCTTTAATGTTAACGCAGTTCAGTATCATTGTGCCAGAGAAGGTTAATTACGAAGACTAAACTAGTAGATCTGGAGATTCTTCGCCACTTCCACAGCTCCAGAAGCTTGTCTCACCTTCATGACTACTTTTCATGTGACGAACCAGTTCCGCTATTCTTAAAAAGTAGCTGTCATCTGGAGTCTTTTACGCTGCGGCGTCAGCGGTCTCTACTGTTGAAGGCGCAGACGGAAACTTGGTTAGAAAGTGGCTGGCTCGTTGCCAATCCAGTAATGAAAGTGGTCCACCTTGTAGTTATGTATGGTACGGTGTTGAACCTACAGACGGCATGGTTTGCTTTAATTCGTGAACTAATTAACCTCACACACTGAAAGGATTTCTCCTAGCAAGTTTGATCATGCCATTGAATACCCCGCCCCCCCCACGTCGTGAACACTATCTATAACTGGAGTCGTATTTCCTGGACCGCCCCCCGGATTTTTCGTACAGTGGGCTATCCACCCAGGGTATAGCATCGTGATGGGTGAAATGGTGGTGTCAGTACGACCCCACCCATGAAGGAGGGTCTCGGTACGACCTCCCCCCCTTAAAAGAGGGTGTCGGTGCGTTACCCTCTCGATACGACCTCCCCTCCCAGCGGCCAAGTATAACCCCCATGTGTTTCGCACAACGATGCTGTACACTGTCTGCACCAGTTTTGTAGTACATAGTTCTGCCACAGAAGATAGCAGGAACTCGCTCTCAGTTGTAGTTCTTCATAATGAGTTACGAAATCTGCTGTGAAATCACCTTTGAGAATACCCTGCCATTTCCCCAACATTCATAGCCAAATCTGTCAAGCGAGTGAAACTGTTGATCAGATAAATAAAGTAGAAAGCGTTCTAAACAGAGATCAACCTCTTAATAACCATATACTAGCGGACTGAAAAATTACCCACGTTACTGATCTGCTTGCCCAGCGCTCCAGGATCCATATCATTGTAGCTGTGAAAAATAAATATCGGAAACACTTGAATGAGGTAACTAAGAATAGCACCATAGTAGTCGAAAAAGTTCTGCAGAACTGTAAATAAGCAATAGAAGCATAGTGTGCTAACTCACGTAAAAAGTGCCCCTTTTCGAGGAAATTTGCTATGTTTATCGATTGAGTGGTGGGTGGTGGCGAGGCCCCGCCTCTTTGCGCGGCATTTGGTGCGGATGCCGCGCATACACGCTCTTTGCAACCTCTCCTCTCTCTCACTGTTCTCCCCGTGACGCGAATGTAACGCATCACACCTAATGCTAATCACTTCAAGTAACCAATAGAGTCAATTGACCGGGATTGTCGGACTTTTGCTGTGCGTTCTTCTGTCAAGCACTTAAGGTTTCGTAATTACGAAAAAATAAAAACCATTACATTGTGCTGGGTACTTCCATAAGTTGGCCGCCATTTGCTTCTTGAGTAAAGACGTGAGAAAGCGATTACTTTCGTGCTCGTCGAATCCGCCGCGTCATAGAAAGCTGACTCTTCCGCGTTATTCCGCACAGATACATGCTTGTATCTGGAATTCAAATAATATGTGTAGGGATAAGTTGTCTAGAAAGGTCATCTGCCCTTGAAACCGTTGCAAATTCGTTAACTGGCTCTTATCATTGAACAATGATAGTACACTGAGCTGCACCACTTGCCTGATTACAGGAAAGTGCAAGCGCTCACCGGTACTTTGAAACTTATCTGCTACTTGCTAATTACAGCCTACATTTTCTTCGACACCTGCAGACGGACCTGAAATCACCTTCCGCTCGCTCAACTCTGGCTGTCCATTTAGTTAACGGCGATACAAGAAGGCGGTTCGCTATGACTCCCACGACGAAGTAAATGTAGATAATAGCAACTCCAAATGGACCAGCTCTGAAAAAAAATGCTCTCAAGTATTGTTCGATCATTTCTTTTTTTTACAGTCCTCGAACTTAAACAAAAAATGGTAAATATTCCTAAATAATTCAGGAAAGTCACATACATTACCCAGGTCTTGTAAGTATAATACGCGATTACTCCCGGTGAGATAAGGATGTAAGGAAAAATGTTTTTGGCAAGTGTCGAACACATACGCTCAGCATCTTGTGTAATTCGTTGATCCCTGGAAAATTATATCATTTATTACTTTGAAATAAGTCATACATATGTGCGACCTCATTGCACATTTTGCTATGGACGACTTTATTTTACACATTTCGGACGTACTTCTCATCATTGCGGACCGGTGGGGCGTGTCAGCCAGAAGGAGTGCGCACACTGTTGAAGCCGTTCTCAGCCTTTTTTGTTGCAACGCGTATGCGACAAAAAGTGGTAGAAAACGAGTAATACGAAGGATATAATACAGTAATGCACTTGCCCGCTTCAAAAACTGGTGCAGAACGACTTTGCCAAACCGCACCAAACGCAGCCGCACTGCCACGCCCCACCGGTCCGCAATGATGAGGACTGTACATAGGTCGCACTTTCATATGGGCGATTTTTTACACATTCCGGACGTATGCCCCTAATTCCCCATACTCTCTGCTCCCGGGCGCTGGTAAACGCTGGTAGACTTCAGATCGATATCTATACTTTTCTGGTCGCTGACGCTGCTGGACGCTCGGAACGCTGATGGACGCTGGTGGACGCAGCCGCAATATACTCCGTCCTCCACGGCTATCGAGAGAACAGAATACAAGAAATTGACGGCTCACCATGCTATAGATCTAGCTCAATGTCATCGCAAAAAACGTTTTCGACTCACGGGTTATCGATTCCAGAGTTATCAACGGAGTTCAGTTGGTAGTACGCGTTTTTACGGAAGTACATCTTATGTAATGCAGTAACTAGATTTTTTCGCATGCATATGTACAACAGCCATGTGAGAAAAGAAGTTGTGGCTAGGAGCTGAAAAAGGGAAAACCTTATGAAAGTAAACTGAATGTCTGATATGGCAGAGCAGTGAACGGCATTAAAAAAGGCAATGCCTGGATCTCGCCATACATTTGATCGTGAATTCCAATTAATCTCACCAGACACTGTCCCAGATAAATCAGAGTTGCTTTCCAGAATAAATTCCAGAAATAATGCTCATCCTTGTTCAACAGGGCCATATAAAAACTTCCAATAATTGTACCAGAATGATAGCTGACAACTTCGTCTGAACGGAGACATTCAAGACATTACATCCCAAAAGACCGCACAGTAAATGCTCGGTTACGCTAGCCCTCATTATTACTCCACTGTGATCGTTAATGGGGCGAAGACAATCGAACCACTGTTCCGTTCTGAAAGGGGACGCAATGCCAAAGAAACTCCAATGGTGCTGCGCCTCCACCCATACTATCAGCGTGGACCTTGTCTTTGGAAGTTCCCATCAAGGTTGGCTGGTGTAGTTCAAACACAATAGGGCACAGCTGGCACGTTGGATCAAACTGTTTCAAACTCAGACGCGCTCCACACTCTTCTGATCTGGTCCTACAATGTGAGGAGAAAGGACTCTTAACATAGCCCAGCTTTTGGAAGCAGTTTCACTTTCATTGAACTGCAGAATAAGGTTCGATGCTCAAGAATTAGCCCAGCTTTTGGAAGCAGTTTCACTTTCATTGAACTGCAGAATAAGGTTCGATGCTCAAGAATTAGCCCAGCTTTTGGAAGCAGTTTCACTTTCATTGAACTGCAGAATAAGG